ACCCATCTAATTTATCTGGTGAGCAGCAAGTATTTGGTCCTGGACGCAAATCTTCCTAATTTCTCAGTTTGTTACCTTACCAAGAGCCAAGACTGACTTTTGAAACCCAATTTGAATCACTGTAAGAGCCCAACCTGTGTGTCCAGAAGCACGGCTCTAGTGGTCGTGGTTTGTACTCCAGCAGTTCATGTTCTCCTGACGGGGTGCATTGATGAGGGGGGCTACTAAGAACATTTACCATGAAAAAATTATAAACTACATCAGTTTAAAAAATATACTATTGAAATGGGCATAACAATTATTAGAAATAGCTTTATAACCCCTTGAGCCAGCAAATGTAAATATGTATACTGAATGGCAGTTGCCACCCCCTGCCCCGAGCTTCCATTTTCATGAGTCATATGTTCAACTGGCTAGGTTAATTCGGGAGACAATATCCCAAACTGAGTTAAGGTTATGGTTCTGCTTCGCTAAATCCCAGGAACTGTTCAGTGCCTCAGATTGCTCAACCTTAAAGAGTGGTTACCAGCATTTCCTGCATCTCTGTGCTGTCTCCTGAGGTCCTCAAGCATGAAAGTGCGCTGGTAAGGTATTAGAAGAGGAACGAGTTTATTTTCTGACTCCCAGACATTTTTATGGAGTGGATAAGAGAGTTCCTTGTATTACGGCTGGAACCTTTCTTGGTGTTTGTGTTAAAATAGCAGTGGGGAAAACAAGCTTGTTTTGGAAACAGTTTTTTTCAGGAATTTTCATGACTATCAACACTTTTTCCCCCCCTTTTTTTTTCATACCAGTTCATGAATTCCTATAAACCGTGACTTGATATGATCGATTAGCATTACATCTCCATCTTTTCCTTCAGCCTACTCCTTTCTCGTGGCCTGTTTTCATTTCCTTGCTAATTCAAGCACGTCTAATGTGCCTGGTTAGCTTGGGGGATTTTTTTTATGGTACAGAGGGGTCAGGGAGATGTGCCTGAGATTGGATTTCACAGTTGGCATCCATAAACACAGGTGGAGGAATAGGACAACAGGTCAGGGAGATGGGACCTGTGAGAAATGCTGTGGGTAAAAGTAGATTGTGGGAAGTTTGGGAAGGTGAAATGTATAAGGATAACTTTGGTAACAGTGGATGAAAAACTCTTGCAAGTGGATCCTCATGGAGAGAGTGCAGTCCCTTGGGTTCTGCATTACTTTCTGCTGTTGTGTTGGTTGCTCAGAGAAATGTGAGCACCCTCTCCCCGCCTGTGGCCACCAGCCCTTGCCTTCAGTCACAGGGCTTTGGCTCTACGCACCGTCACATTCTTCCTTTGGCGAGCTCAGGAGTGCCGGTGATAAGCAGGTGTCCTTCGCTGGCGTGCTGAAAGAAAAAACATCTTGCCTCACAAATGCTTTCTCTGAAGACCGCTTTGATTGTTGCGTTTAGGGGGGTTAGTCCGTTCAATCTTGCTGTGAATTACAGAAACCAGACCTCTTGTTTTCACATGGACTATATCCACTAGCAACCAGCTGGTGCTAGTATTTGATATCAGCTGGGAACTTGGTCAGGAAGCTTTGATTAATATATATATATATATATATATATATCTCCATTTACGAAAAACCTAAGTTTTTACACTTTCAAGTCTCTTCACAGTAAATTCACATTCTCCATCTGTGGTGGAGAAGGAAAGGTCTGCAGCCTGAGCTCCAATCTACCAGGAAGGGATTGAATCGTTGGTTCGACTTCTAGGTTTTGTTAAAGGCTGGTGCCGTAAAGCAGCACGAAAAGCCTCTCATAGCTGGAGGAGGATCCTCTGGAGACAGGCAGAGGCATGGTGGAGCAAAAACCAGGAGCAAGGTGAAGACAGGAATCCAGCCCGACAGAGGCACAGTATAAGATTTCACTTCTGGGGGTTGGTTCTCTTGCTAAAGCAAACAAAACCTTGGTTTTGACTTTGCTCATTTGTTTTTCTTCTTCTGGAGATGTATTGCTTTACCAAGTGGTGCAGGAAGCTTCCAAACACTTGACTCACAATAAGACACTCCCAAGCAATTCCATTTCTTTTAAAAGCATTTCTGTGTATGGGTTCCAGTCGATTGAGCGTTGACCACTGGACCCTCTTATAGATTTAGTGTTTCAGTGGCATTGGACAGCTTTTTGAGGTTTAAACAGTGTTTCAGTGGCATTAGACAGCTTTTTGAGGTTTAAGCACAGGTATGTTTGCTGGGTCAGGACCAGGGTACTTGTCACTTTGCAGGATTGTGCCCCAAATGGGGTATGAGAGAAGGGTGCGGTATATTAATAGCAAGTGTAAAGAACTGCCCATTCTTTTTCCTACCACTCAGGGCTGTATTAAAGGGGCTGCATTGTTTGGTAGAAGTGAGGAAAACAATTCCTTTCTACTTGCAAAAGCAGATTTTTTTGGGGCTCTGCATCTCCTTTCCAGTATGCAAGTGCTGCTTCTATTCTGAACTGATATTAACTGAGACTGGTAATAAAACAACAACAACAACAAAACAACAAATAAACGCCCAAAAATCAACCAAGCAGTGAGAGGAAAAAACAAACAAAAAACTTAAGGGCTTACCCTGTTTCAGGGAGGGGAGCAAGAATTTGTCCTGGAGGATGAAGCACATCCCTTCCTAAACAAATCATGTTAAATCCCACACCTCACTATCTTCTCTGCCAGGTAAAACCCACCCTGAAATGATAGGCATTAGCATAAGCTAAGCTAATTCACTAACCTATCTCCAGTGTACCATATAATCGATTTCATCAAATAAAATCCATGTAATAAGGCTCTGGAAGTTAAGGGAAGTTAGTACAACTTTATTGCACTTCATCCAGGAATCAATTTCTCATTTTCCTTTTTGTTTTCTGTCAGTTTTAGCTGGTTGGTGAAGCCAGAAAGGATGGAGGTTTTACAAGTGTTGACGTGCTCTGTGCCACTGGCATTTCATATCCTGAGTGAAAATGAAAGGAAGATTTTCCAGATATTTTTTTGGATTAGCCACAGCAGGGAAATGTCTGGGTCGAAATAGTTGTCTAGCAATGAAAAGCTTTACCCCTGCATAAAGCTAAGTACGGCTTTGGTCTGTAAATTTTGTTTTCAGCTGTTTCTGTGCTTTCCCCTGAACCTGGAATCAGGAGAGCAATGGATGTATAAGGTTTCTTTTCACAGTGTCTCCGTTTCAGAGCTGCAAGAAAAAATTAAGATAGATTGCAAATTTTTCAGCTCCATTTTGCAGAATGAAGATGTTTTATCCAAATTGTTTCCTAATGAAATCCAGTGCAGTCTTGGGGCTTTTCTGGAAGGGGGCTACATCGTTATTCTGCCAAAGAGGAAGGTACAGAAAGGTCTTCATTTTCATGATACTTCTGGGCTGCGTGAAGCCAGAACTTGACACTGACCAGGAAAAATCCTTGTGGGTTGCAGGGAGGTCCTGGCTCTCAACACAGCAGCAATTTCCCACTTTTAGTGGTCAGCTTACTGTGTCCCAGTGACCTGGGGAGCCCAGGAGGTGCCAACTGCTCGAAGCCTACGGTTTGCTAGAGCCAGCATCGATCTCTGCACCGAACAGACTGCACCATCGGACACAGCAGTTTTATATTTCTCTCCATGCAGAGTGATTTATTAGGTTTTGATACTGGCACTCTACTGCATATTTGCCTTTCTTTTACTGCTGCCTGAAGCCTGAGAGCAAAGAAGCTGTAAAAGTTACTGAAACAAAACTCATCTAACTCTCGTCTGTGTGGTGGTCCCAGGATTTCTGGCCATGCAGGGAGGTTTCTGGTCTCAGCTACTGAGGGATGAGCTAGGAGGAGGAGAAAATTGTCGAGGGGCACTCCCCCTGTTCATCAGTGGGAGCTGCTAGCGTGCAGCTTGGCAGAGCTGAGCTCTAAGGATGGATTTGAAAATGGAGAAAGCAGCAGGGTGAGCGTGGTAATGCTTGCTGTCTGGGGAGAGGAGAGGAAAAGGTGGGTGTCTTCAAGGAACGGAGACAAGTTACGCATGAGAAACTGGGCAAAGCCAGAGAAATGGAAGTAATAAACTTCAGCTGGCTTTGAAGGGGCAGCACACATTTATTTTTATTTTTTTTTCCCCTGGCTGCTGCTTTGTTTTATGTTCAGAATAAATGCCATGTCAAGGAGCAAAAAAGGAGAAATTAGGCCACGTTTTCTGGGATGCTTGGGTAACTGGAGGAATGATGGATACTCTAGGTGAATGACCACTGCACATGCAAAAATAGCCTGTGAAATATGTGCTGTGGGAGTGCAGCCCATCCAAAATACCATGTAGTTTTTTTCTGTAGATGGAACTGTGTTCCCTCTGGGCGCTTTTTTAGGAACAGCTTGGATCTATCCAATGAATATGTCAACTGCAGCTTTTGAAAGCTTTACGAGGCTGATTCTTTTTGGAAACCCTTGATTCTACTTTGTCTGTCAATTTGTTGGTGCTTTTCATGACTAGAGTGAGTACAGGATATGTTTTAGCCAAGCAATAAGCCTTGGGCTCTTCAGAGGACTACTTTAAAGGGAGTGGTGAAGTGAGAACTGGCGTCTCCTATCCCTAATCTTGTCAGCCTTGTGATTTCCAAATTAGCTGAGTAATATATGGATACTTCATCTAGGCTGCCGGGGTGCTATTTTATATCCAGGTAGGCCGAACGTGCCAGATGGAGCAGCCTGGGTTCAGCAGGTTTTATTACAGCACTTGTGCCATTGCAGCCTTTTTACTTTGGGATTGCTCGTATTTGTTGTGAAAGGAGCTAAACTGAGACACTGCACAGATCAGAGAGGTTCAGAAATGGAAGAAGCAGGAAAAATGAACCTTAAATTTCCCTCGTCCACCATCCACCTTATTCTGGAGCACGTGCTGCAGAGCTCCAGGCTTCATCAGAGATACTTGTCCTCCTTCGCTTTGCTTACACAGCTGGTTTTCAAGTGCTCTTGAAAAACATACATTCAATACAAATATTATCCCTGTACATCCTCCCTCTGTTATTTCTTGCGTGCAGGATCAGCAGTTTGCAGAGCGTACCTCGAATCCCAGAAGACGCTAGAGCTACCCACAGTCCATGAGAAACATCGCCTTAAAAAATCCTTCGCACGGCCAGCTCGGAGGAAATGCAACTGGTGACTGTGAAAGGTATAGCAGCCCTGGGATGGGTAGTGTTCAGCCAGGTTGTAAAAAGGCGATGGATTCCGAGAGAGGTTTCAGTCTGCGGGGAGAAATTGGGAGGTGTGAGATTGCTGGCTTTGTGCAGGTTATTATGCTTCCATTGCTGATTTCTAAATGGAGTCCTGTTGCTGAGAGAGAGCAGGTTTGTCTTTACTAAAAACATAGGGGTGGATTTTTTTTTCCGTACTGAGGTATGGAGCTTTAGATGGCCATCTCTGTGCCTTGTCACCTCTGAGATTTTTTCCACTGATATTCACCTTGAGAAGCTACAAAGAGGTAAAAACTACAGTGGCTTGCCGTGTTTTTACTAGTGTCTTGCTTTGATATAAATCCTCAGGGTAAAAAACACCTTCCTTTTGCAGCGAAAGCAAAGGCTAAAGTATCTTTCATGAAGCAGGCTTAGTTCCTCTGGAGGACTGACATCCCCATTTTTAAGGCCTAATTGCATGAAGTCTCCTGTGATAATTCCTTAGACAGCACAGAGAAGCAGCTGGAGCCAGCCTCCAGCATCGAGTGGCTCGAGCCCAGCAGGTCAGAGCGGTGGCTTGATAGGGCAACAAAGAGATCCAAAGAACTGAGCCATCCTGTCACATGCGGTTAAAGTTTTTTTCTTCATCTATTACTAACACAAATTCCTTGGGTTGATCAATATGGAAATGGTTCACTTAAAGGCACGTTTTCTCCTCAACTTGCCTCTATTTTTATGACGTCCTCATGATGAAGGAATGCTCTGAAGTATCAAGTTAACGCCACTTTAGAGCAGAGGCAGTGCTCGTAGCAGGCGTTGGGCTGACTCCCGGCTGATGTTGTCAGCTCGGCCACGCAGGGCTATTGCAAATCCATCAGCAGCATGAGCCACGCTGCTGGTGTGCCTTTGGGACCGAAATCCAGGCTTCCCCAGCACTCCCTGACGCTAGCCAGATCCGAAGCAGTAACCTAGAGGTGTGGTGTTACTGGCTGCCCTGGAACCCAGCATCCACCAGTGCTGCACTGCCCACCTCCACATTCCTTGCATCAAGAGAAATGGGCACCTGGGGTATCCCAGTGCTCATATCCCTTCTTTCTTCGCTTTGTCCGTGACACAATGTCATGACCCCCTGGCTCAGCTTGTCGCTGTGTGGGGTATCGGTTTCTGTTTCCCAAAATGAGAGAGCCTTCAAAGGATGGTTGGGCAGAACGAGCTGGGCAGCTGCCAGTAGCTCTGTGTCGTTGGGAATTGTGTGTGTTAAAGCTTTCCTGCTCCTCAGTAGTTCAGAGGGCTTTGTGTCTCTGAGAGCAGGCACCATGTCTCAGGTTCTTGGGGTGTGCCTACATCTTCTAAGCTATTTTTGAAGGTATTTCAGCATTTGATTTGACAGCCTGAAGCCTGCAAAAAGGAAGAATGTAGCTGGTTTGTAGGCATGCAGCCCCCACATTTAACATGAACATTGTAGCCCACTAAGAGCAGTTTTGAAAGCCCTCTGCAGTGTTGATTTATACATTTTTCTGCAGTGTCAGCATTGCTTTAAAGGATGAGGGATTTTATAATACAGTTGTAAATTGTTCTTGTAACTATCTTAAGTGCCTCATGGGAGTGCCTGATCACTTGAGATGCTTCATAATTTATTTCTTCTCATGTTTTTCACCAGTGCAATAAAACATTTGTAAATACCCAGGAATGAGGGTCCTTACAGATGGCACTGACATGCACTAGGCCCTTGCATCATCTGGAGGAAGGAAAAGAAGAAGATAGGAATGACAAGTCTAAGGCTTTCCTGAGCCTATGTGACAGGTGAGTGCAATTGAAGCTCCTGAAAAGGCTACATAAACATGGTATTTTTGCTTTCTGGATCCTCTTCCTGGGGTCTCCACAGGAATCCCTCTCTGCTGCATTATGGCTCGTGCTCAGAAGTTAGCTCCTCTTGTGAACTGGTAAAACAAACAGAATGATACAGAACCAACTAACAAAGACAACAAAAAAAATCCTTGGCAGGTGAGAGCCAAACCTGTGAAGAGCAATTAGCATCAGTGCTTACATCCCCTGATGTGCTAGGTGTGCCCTGGTGGGGCACATACAGGTGTCCTGATGAGGACTTTATGGTCCTGTTGCTATTTTGAGAAGCAGAAGGGCGTTGTGGAGGGGATGGTCTCTGCCAAATCAAACTGCTACTGTTGGGGCTCTCAGCCACAAAATTACATTATTATTATTTTTGTGGGGGTGTGTGAGGTTTGGTAAGCAATTCCTTTTGTTAAAGAATGTAATTCTCAGCAGACACAATCAGTTTTATTTTAAAACTATACAACCTTACAGTCAGCGATAAGAGTGGTTTTGTTCGGGTCTAATCTTGGATGTCTGGGGCAAGCATAACTTGTATTCTCTTCAGCAGAGCCATGTTTTGACTTCCAGTAGTGTTTTATCAGAAAGATACTCTCTGATATGCACCTGATGAGGTGTTTAATGTTGAACTGCTAAGATCAGCTGCTAAAGAGACTGTCCCAGCTGAGGCTTCAGGTGTAGCTCTTAGAAGGGCTCAAGGACCAAGTGAAGGCAAGGGATGAAAAGCCTCAGTTTCCTCAGTGCCTCTTGCTGGCGAGGGAGGCTTAGTCATCCCTAGTCATCCCAGACTGTTTTTGATTTTATTAAATGACTTTGTTTTCCATAATCTGAGACAGTGCTTTCTCTTCAGCATGAAATTTGCTGGTAGAAGTGCTCTGTTGACTTGTAAAATGCAAGGTATCTGAAGGGACTTTACTGTGCAAGTGTCTCAAAGCTCATCAGCTGTGTGTAGCAGCCCCCCAGGTTATTGATCAGATGCTGCTTTGAATGAGAGCATCAAATTTGTCATTCCTCTAAACTGCCACTTTGCTTTCTCAGTGCTCTTTATTATCTCTTTTATGTATTTTTTTTTTAAATCATAATGTACCTTGAAAACATTTGTAGCGGCTTTTTCTGGCTGTATTCCCCAGTTCAATTTCTGTGTTAATCCGTGTTGATTTGTTACAGGGATGTAAATGCTGGTTGAAATCTTAGAAGTGCGTGCTTTCCTTGAGTGGGAAGGCCAAGAGATTGCTGCTCAGTAAGTAAACACAGAGGAACGGTCTTTCCTTCTCTCTTGATGCTGGGATTTCTGGCTAACTGCACCTCCAGGCACACTCGCTTCATGCCAGCAAATTCTTGCAGTAAGGCACGGCATGGTGGTCCTTTGACAAAGCTGATCTTGAGGGGTTAAGATATCATCAGCACCCCCCCATCTGCTTATGTTAGACCAGGCAGAACCAGTAGCGGCTATCTTGCTCACGGCATAAAATAAATACCAGTCACTGAAGAACATTGATCTTTGTAGCAGAGGAATTGTTCGTGGCATGTTGACCTGCCCTGAACCTGTAGTAAATCACAAAGCGTTATTGATTGTTACAGCATGAATGTAGGAAGCAGTATCTTTTGCTCTGTGTAAACATATTATGCATGCTGTGTGACTAACTGTGAGCCCTGTCCCGGCGCCTGCCCTAAATTCATTCTCATTTTGCCTGTGACCTTCTGGTGTGCTCCTCGCTTGCTCGAGAAGTTGTTCTGAAGCAACGGTTTGTTGGCTCCAGATGTTTGCCTGCGTGTCCCTGCTAACCACACACCTGCCTGTGCTAACAAGTACTTTGTGCCCGAGTCCTGAAGAATAAAACAAAATGCTTGTCTCGAAAACCAGGAAAGCCCCAAGTGCACGCCTAACGTCTCTTTCACAAGACCAATCATCCTTGATGTGTGGGCCTCTCTCCTGAACAATTAGCTGCTCCGTGAAGATCTTGCAGACCTGTTGGAAGTGCCTTTTGACCCTGCTTTCATTCATCTGGCCATTAATAGCTTGCTCAGGGATCCCGAGGATTTAAACTCACCAGCAGAAATTGCAGCTGGGCTGGTCGCTATCCTGCTGCTCGCAGCTCTGTCTCCTGCCTTCGTGTCGTAATTCATAAATAACTCTCTCCCTTCCTTCCCCTGCTTCTGGAGCCAGTTGTGGGTGTGTGCTGATTGCACTGTTGTGGTTGACATCAGCATCCCCGCTCTCTTCATTGCAGCCTAGCTTAAAAAAACAAATGTCTCTCTTCTTCGTGTCAAGAACGTGATTAACTCCTCCTGTTTCTGTGCAAGCAACATGACAGGCCCGTGCAAGAAAAAAAAAAAGCAATCAACTTGGAGAAGCTGCGTCTGTTCTCCTTTGGCTGGACTGCATTTCTCAGGCTACAACAGGGATGCCAATGAAGCAATGTCTCTCCTGGGAGAGAGTTGGCTGAATCATGTTAACGGAGCTCCAGCAGAAAGCTTCACCAGCAAAGGGTGGGGAATAGCAGTGATCTAGACCAAATGACGACTTGAACTCGCATTAAGATTAAGTAGTTGTTCCTTCATATTTTTATTTTTTTCTGCTGGAAAATTGAAATAATTCCATGACACCCGACATTTTTTCTTCAAAAAAGTCAGTGTTTTTTTTATTTCTATCCAAAGCCTGTCTGTTGGAAAGCTCCCCACCAGCTCTATTGGTGGGCCAGGGTGTTTTCCACGGTTAGCCTGAAGTTTCCATTAGGCAATGGAAGGCAATTTTCTTTTTCTTTCTCTCTCTTTTTTTTTTCCTTTTTCTTTTTTTTTTTTTTTTTTTTCTTTTAAAGGCAGACAAGCAGATCAACTGTTGGTGAGAACTTTAGTACCTGATTTGTCCCTATAAAATTTTCTACAACGTGAAAGAACTTTTCCAAAGCTATCTGCAACCTGCTTTTAAAGTTGAATTTTGTCTAATGCCACGAGGAGGAGTTAATAGATGGCTTAGGAGCTAGTTTCAGTTTGGGTTCCTAATTGAATCTTAGTTTCTTTCAGATGAGTTGTTAAATTTATCCCATGACCCTGTAAATATAATCTGCCTTTCCATCCCTTAAATAGCCACCATCTCCTTTCAAACATGATTTTGCATTCACCTTCCTGGCGTCCAGTTTCAAGTAAATATTTTAATCTCAGAGGAGCTTGGTTCTCTGCTTTCCACCCTCCTGGATTTTCTGAGGAGAGCAAGGTCTCCACTGATTTGTGCCGGTAGCCTTGAGATCAGCTCCAAACATATTTCTTGCCTTTCATTGGAAAGCTGTTCTGGTGGAGAACAACTTTTTGGCTATTTAAGAGTGGAAGGGAGCCTCAAGGAATCTGCTTTTTCTCTTTAGCGAGTGCCAGTAATATCACACTTGGAAAGCAGTTGCTTTTTTTTTTTTTTCTTTCTTTTCTGCCTTGTGAACTCAGTGCAAGGGAAGGGTGCTGGGGTGGACCCTGGGAGCAGAAGATCCTGCCATTCCCATGGGTGACCTCTGGCTCTCCAGGACATTTTGTGCCTTCCTTCCCCAGGGCACCACAACCTCGGCTCACGTTCTGTGGGTGACTTCATACTGACATGGGGATGAAACAATACCAAAATTTGCATCAATACCAAAAGATGAGATTTTACTTGCATTTTTAAAGCTCTTGGCAGAATCTTTGGTCCAAGTCTGGCTGGTAGCATGTCAGCATGTGCTGGGAAAGCTTGTAACAGAGCTTGTAACTTTTAATTTTTTCTTTGAGGGAATGCTTGTCTTTCACCACTTCGCTAGGCGTTCCTTCACGTGCTCTGAAATGTGATTATTTGTGAGGTAGTGTTTTTTTTTTTTCTTTTTCTCTCCCCCATCCTTAATGACTACCCCTGTTTGCATTTTATTTTATCCTAGTTCCTCTGGTTCAGACTCATTTACCTTGGTGAGGAGAGATGGAGATATAATGGCTGCAGCTTTGATTTGGAGACTGGAGCATTGAAAGAACCATTTAATTTCTTCCATAACAAACTCACAGTATGGAAATCAATAATTCTGCTCCTCTTCCAGTTATTTTTATTGGTGCTAGCTGTCATGCCATGCAGAAAATGCTCAGATACTCTGACTGCCTTGCACTGTGTACCTGAGCAGAGAAGGGGCAGGCAGCAGCTAAAAGACCGTGCAGGTTCCCTGACTTGCTGTGACCTCTAATGATGGGTGGAAAATCTACAAAACCACTTTTCTTTGTGTTTTTGCCGTTCTAGGGGGAGCTGAATTTTAAAAAGGGAGGGTTACGTTCATCCTACAGGTGTATGTCTTGGGCAAGACAGTGGTTGAGAAGTGGAGCTGGTGTGATGATGGATATTTTTCAGAAGGAAAGTTGTGTGTCCATTAGAAAACACTTGCACTCCATGTCTGTAACCCCTACACCTGCTCCAGCAGAGCTGTCCTCACTGCAGTTCAGGTAAGCTTTAATCCTACAATGACTAGGAAGTGACCAGTGGCTGGGTACTTGCTGTAAAGATACTCCAAGGAGGCTAATCCGTGCCTTTCTTCTCTCAGTCTTGATCTGGAGGGCAGATCCTTACCAGAAAGCTACTATTAAATGGCGTTGGTTGGCCGTGAATATTCATGTGCAGCTTGTTTTTGGAGCCAAGTGTGAGCAGAGCTGTCATACTGCTAATTGCAATTGAAAGTGTTAATTTTCACACACTGGTGAAAGAATCCCAGTTTTTGGAGATTTCACTTGAGTCAGGGGTGAGGTTCCTGACAGCTTTGAAGTATGCAGATGTGAAATGCTGAGTTTGAATATTAAGTCCCTCTTAAAACTTTATTTCATCTGAAAGATTCCTAGACTCTGTGTTACTTTGTCAAACCCACTTTTATTTTTTTTTCTTATAGAGTTTGAAGCCTTGACTTTTTATTGCAGCTTTGTTTAGATGAATTTATACATTCTTAGATCAAACATTATACAGCCTGACCAGGAATCATGCAATCCCAGGGGGAGATGGGAAGAAGCAGTATAATTTATTCTTTAAACAATGGGATCATCTCCATTAGAGTGCAAGTTAGTTAATAAAATGGGCTTTAGTGAAATAAAAAAATGCAGCTTTCCCTGGGCTGTGTTTAGAAATAGTTGCACTCAGATGGGGGATGTGATGGTCGTGTCTTGGCGCAGAGATCAACTTCATCTACTGTGAGCTGCTACCCTGGTCACTCTCACATGCATTGAGGTATCCTGGGTGAATTAATTCCTACCGTGTCCGTGCTGCTGGTGTTCCTGGGCACAGCCCTGTGTGCCTCTGTGCTGTGATGAGCTCAGCTGCTCTGCTTCTTCCCTGGCGATGCGTAGAAGAAGGTGTCTGTCTCTTTGTGTGCTCAGGAGAAAGGGATGGTGGAAATAGACTGGAGAGACTAGAGGGATTTGACCAGATCCTTGTTGCAAAATGGGGTGGATAATGAATGCCAGCAGAAAGACTAAACTATGCTGTTCTTCCTTACCCTGAGATGAGCCAGCTGTTCTAGGTTGGAAATGCATGCAAACTCAAGCAGGCCATAGCTCTGAGGACACTTCACAGGCACAGAAGAAGGTGATGTTCAGGGATGTTCAGCACAAGATAGATATGGACCTGTTAGAGTGAGTCCAGAGGAGGGCCACAAAGATAATAAGGTACTAGAGCACCTCTCCTATGAAGAAAGGCTGAGAGAGCTGGGGATGTTCAGCCTGGGGAAGAGAAGGCTCTGGGAAGACCTCATTGTGGCCTTAAATGGGTCTTATACAAAGGATGGAGAAGGACTCTTGGGTAGATAATGATAGGACAAGGGGGAATGGTCTTAGACTAAAACGGGATACATTTAGATTAAACATTAGGAGGAAATTCTTCACTGTAAGGGTGGTGAGGCCCTGGCACAGGCTGCCCAGAGAAGCTGTGGGTGCCCCATCCCTGGAGGTGTTCAAGGCCAGGCTGGATGGGGCCTTGGCCAACCTGATCTGGTGGCATCCCTGTGTATGGCAGGGGCTTGGAACGAGATGGGCTTTAAGGACTTGTGGGGAATGTGCCACTTCTCTCTGAGGATACGCTACTGTGTGGATAGGAAACATCTCACAGGATCCCTGCAATGCAGACCTGGGAAGCATCACCCGGTTAAAAAAACAGCTTTATCCAACAAATATAAAAGATATTCTGGAAGAGGAGAAATGCTAGCTTCAGTGAAGTTAATGATGCAACTCCCCTTAGCTGGGGCAGGATTTCACCTTGGACTTGCAGTGAGTACAATGAGAGTTTCTCCTGGACCATAAAGCAAAAGTTACTGCGAGTTATTACGCACACGTGCACACAATAGTGCTCAGAGCCTGTCCGCTGAGATCTTTCCTTGGGGATCCATATAAAATACCTCTCACAAAAGCTGCCCTGTGTGCATACAGAGGAACTCCATCTAGTGACGTAAAAAAAAAAAAAAAAAAAGCCAACAAAACCTTTTCACACACACGTACAGTTGTGTACCTCTTATCTTACTGCCAGTCTGTTGAAGATATCAGCCCAGCTAAACAGCACTCACCATATGTGAGACTAAAAATGCTGCCTGGGAAGCACTTTCAGTCCCTGTTCTGTATTCTGCCAATGCAAAAAAATGTCCCCTTTGTCATGTTAGTGAATGAATATTCTTGTTCCCCTTTCTCCTTGGATTTATGTTAACCCTGGGTTTCAACTGAGTTTGATCTCCTTACTTTATTGTATTGCAAACAGTAGTCAATAGCTCTTCAGCTCGAGATTGCCTGGATTTATTTTAAGGTCAAGTCAACTCTCCTTGACCCAAGTCTGAACCAAAATACATTCCCAGAAGATTCCCCCACAGGATATCGGATCCGAAGACAGAGTGACATTGTAATGAGTTCAAGGTTTCAGTTCAGTACAACAGAGTCCCTGTTGGTGTGGGGAAGGCAAGCAACCCATCCTTCATAATTCAGAGCTGGGACCTCTCATGGGACATTTCGGAACAGATTTTGTCATCCACTGGTAACTACTCTTCATAGAACAGTGTCATCGATTGCATTCCTGGTGCTTGCTGCCTGAAAGGAGACCACTCCCAGCTCCTTACACGTGTGTTTGCATGGCTCTAACATGCATGCGTGGAATGTGGTGTGCAGGCTTTAAAAAACTGATGAATTGATCTGCATTCATGCTTTTATTTTTTGTTAAATATTTTTAAAGAGAAGGAAGAGTGGCATCTCTTCTGGGGACTCTTTAGCACACAGGCAGAACCAAGCGATACTGCATCATAAAGTAAAAACACCGCTTTGAAGAGCTGCGACAAAAAATGGAATGAACTCATAAATTTATCCTGGATGATAAATCTTCCTTCAAAAGAAGGCAGCCTTATGTTTAGCACAAAAGACTGTTTATTTCTTCTGTGGAAAGAAAAAAAAAAAAAAAGAAAAAAAAGAGTGTAATCGGATAGGATTAACTTTCCAGGGGCCCTGGACAGAAGCTAAAGCGCAGACCACTTCCTTCTTGTGCTCACATTGGATAATTTGAGCTCTGGAGTAGTCTAAGACCTCTCTGGCTTCCGAAGGCATTGTGCCATGACCAGCTGCCAGTGTGACTTGCACCTAAAGCCAACCTTAAAGATCCAAGCAACAAGAGTTTCTACAGAAACAAAAAATTGCCCAAATGTTTGGGTGGTATAAACTGCTTGTCTCAGCTGGGAACCTGGCCCAGGTATGGATGAAAATAGTGCCTTGTTAGTGTTTTTCATCTCAAGCAGGTAGTTAAATACATTTATGGCAAACATAAATAACGTAAAACTGACTTAATGTTGCATTAAGAATCTTTGTGGTCTGTGTGCACTGACTTTGTTGTTTTGACTGTTCATGGTTAATGTTGCATCAGCCCTTTTAATTTAATCTATTCATTTAATTACCTAGGAACAGCCTTGTGCGCACTTTTGTTGGTGGGAGCAATGGTGCTTCAAATTTCACACCTCACTGGGATGGATGGGAAAATTTTTACTGAGGCAGCTGGGTTGGCAAAAGGAAAAAGTGAAAGTCTAAGTCCAGTCTGCATGCGTGTGCTTCTATTGGTGCAAAGAGTCCCGTGCAATTTGGGTGATAAGCAAACCCCATCTTCAGACTTCTCTGATGGGCCAAGTTGAGTTGCTTGTGCTTGAGCTGGTTAAAACTTGCATGAGTTGCAGTATTTGCAAGATCTGTTCAACAGGCATTGTTATTTTGAGCAGTAAGCTTTAGCTGTCTTCTACCCTTGTTTCTCGGAATAAGCTACTTCAGATAGTGAGTTATCACAGAGAAAGGACGTGGTCATGAACAGTTGAAGTTCTTCCCATAGCTGTTATGAGAGCAGTAGCGCAGTAGAACAATGCTGAACCTCTTTGGGGTGATTGGACTTGTGCTGATGGTGCTGTGTGAAGTTGCTCTGAGCTTCTCTTCCAAGGAAGCCAGTCTTGGAAATAGGAGGTGGGTTAGAGATCGCTGTGACTGCAGCTTCACTTCTTGGTTAAGGCAAGCAGTTACACCTGGGCTAACCTAGCCAGGTGAAAGGAACACCATCCCTGGACCTCTGTGGTTCCCAGGGGAGGTCCTCTAGGATGCATCACCAGCTTCTTACAAGAATTGCTGGAGAATTTATTACTGTTAAGGGGCAAAAAATTAGAGGGAGGAGCTTTGTTGAGAACTTTCCCCAAAGTTTTTGATTAAATGAAGTGCCTGGTACTGTTTTGTGGGGTCAGGAGAGAGGCTGGGGGTGCATGGTGGAGTGTAACCATAGCTGTGAGAGGAGGCTGCGAGACCTGTCCCACCTCTGCATCTCCCACTCTCTCAACACTTTGCTGCCAGTGTGCTCTTAGTTGGAAAGTCTCCACCACCACTTCTACGGCAGAGATGCCTCATTGTTTGGAAGCTGCCTGTCGTGAGGAGGCTTCTTCCATGTGCTGTGGCTGGCTGTGTGCAGGGTGCTCCTCAAATGTCTGCCAGATGTGGTCCCTCAGGGAGGGGGGTGTTAATCAGCCTCTATCTGATTGTGATTTAATCAGGAGATGGGTATCAGTCTGATGCAAACACTTCTGGCCATGTGCCATCCTGGGATTCCCAGAGAACAGAGAGACAGCACATAGGGTATCTGGACCAGGCAGCAGCTGAAGAAGGGCTTTGGTGAGCCCGTGTTTTGCAGCTGGTTACATCAATTGCCAGTTCTACCCAAATTTCTACCCAGATCTTGAGCATCTGTCTGGACTGGGGGCTTGG